GTCTTCTGCCAAAGAAATGTCTACGTTAGGCATTGAGCCTCCCCCACATTCTGAAGACACGGGAAGAATGAAGCTGGATTCTTTGCCAGAACGTAACCTGAATGGACTCACGTCCAAGTCTCAAGAGAGTCCTGATCTTCATGAGCTGAGTCGCCGCTGTCCGTGTCTCTTTCTTTAGGCATCCTGGTTTTCCAAACTCCCACCAGGAGGCTCCGCTGAGCTCTGTTGGCAGCAGTTTAGGACTTGTCTGTCCTGCCGCTCCAAACTCTTCCACATTCCTCCCACACACCAGTTCCTCCACATGACCAGATTTGTCACAGCGACAGCCTCACCCCTTGGCACCAGTTTTCTGGGTTAGTTAGTTTTCTTGTTAGGACGACAAAACACGCAACACATGCCACCTAAAGGAGAAAGCATTTATTTTGGTTTACAGTTCAAGAGGGAAGTTGTGCTGACGGAAGCCTGAAGCAACTGGTCACCTTAGAGCCTCAGTCCAGCAGCAGAGAGAGACCAATGCTGACGCTCAGCTCGTGTCTTCCTTTTTATTTAGTCTGGGCCCCTATCACACAGGATGATGCCACCTACATTCGGGGTTGGTGGAGCCATGTCGGTTAAACCTGTCTGGAAACGCCCTCACTGACATACTCAGAGGTCTGTCTCCTAGGTGATTTTTAAATCACCAAAGCTGACAGGATTAACCACCGCTGTTGACTCCACACATTTAGGTTTCTGAGCAAGTGACAACTGGCCTCTGAAAGAGAGCAAGGAAAAGTAATCAGGGCTTCGGAGACAAATGGGAGGTCCCCAGGGCGACTCCTTCAGAGAGTCTGCGAACGGGGCGAGGCTGCCTGGTAGCCTTTAGTGGTGTATGTAGCAAGGCAAATAAATCCTGAACAGAAGTGGACGGCGAAGGTAAGATCTAGGCAGGGGCTGCAGGTGGGTAAGCTCTGTGCAGGGGCGGGTGACAGCCACATGTGATGGCTCCTCCCCCAGCTGCAGCCCTCTCCTGGCCACCAGGCGCTAATTCAGACCTCTTTACAGTAGAGCTGTCCCCCAGCCACAGGCTGAAGAAGAGGACCTCCAGCCTGCCCAAGAGCTCAGCCGCAGAAAAGCAGCCGTGAGTGCTATGGGCCCTGACCCTGCCGGGCCGCCTTCTCTCTCTGCCCCGAGTAGCAGAGCCTTGGCCAGGCAGCCTAGCACCCAGACCCAGGCTCCAGGCAGAACAAGGCTCACAGATGGGGTCTCAGGACTCAGCGAGCTGGGTTATCTGGGTGGGGCACCCTTGAGCTCCGCGTCCTCAGGAGGGTGGCCACCTCCCATGGCAGAGCACAGCCCAGCTCAGCCACTGCTGTTCCAGGAAGTCCCTGCCATCCTCGTGCAGGGCGTTTCTGTGGCAGAGGCGCCCCTGTAGTCAGCTGTGTACCCTCTGGGAAGGACCCAGGCATATTCGTGGGAACATCTGCACCGTTAATCCCAAGGGACGGGGCAGGGCTAGAGAGGGTGATGGGGAGCATCTCCCCCGGAAATGGAGGAAGCTGGTGTTGAGTTTCATCCCAAACACAAGCTCTGAGGTCTCCCTTCCGGTAGCTGCCTCATCGCAGCAGTGGTACTCACAACCCATTTCCCTGAGCTTGTAAGCGCCCCTGGTCGCCATGTTGGATGCATAGCATTTGCTCCAGCAGCCTTTACAGAGTCTGTGGTGGGCCCAAAGGCAGTGTGTATTAACTGCTCAGAATAGCCACGTGGAGACCATTTTGGGTGAGGACATCAGCGGTGGCTGCTGTGCCTGGTGGGGTGTGCAGCCATGACTGTCTTAGGAGCTGGGGCGTGGGCACAGACCTGACCTTGGGGTTCCGTTACAGCCTTGCCTTTTACAAGTTTTGCTACCAGTGTGGTCGCTCCATTGGGGTCCGCCTCACCCCCTGCCCCCGCTGCTACGGGATCCTGACCTGCAGCAAGTACTGCAAGACCAAGGCCTGGACCGACTTCCATAAGAAGGACTGCAATGACATCATGATCATGAGTAGGTTGCATGCCACATTGGGATGGCCCGGCGAGGGGGTCTGCTACCGATTCCCAGGACAAAGACGCAAGCCTGGGGAGTGGGTGGGGGAGAGAATCACCATCACCCTTGAAAGCTCTTCAGTTTCAGGATGCTTTCCCAGAATTTACAGCTGGGACTGAATGGGTCATTGTGTATTTGTGTATGTGGTTGTGTGTGTGTGTGTGTGTGTGTGGTGGTGGTGGTAGTGGTGATGATGGTGATGTGGGTGGGTGTATGTATGAGGGTGTTGTGTATGTGTGCGGTGTGTGTGTGTGTGTGTGTGTGTGTGGTGGTATGTGTGGTGTGTGTGTGTGTGGT